GTGAACTTTCAACCTCAGACATCAGTGAGGCAAGGTCACTGGATATTTTCAAGGCAGACTCTTGACTAAAAATTGAATCAAAGGTACAGAGGATAGGCCCAAATGTGAAATTGAGGCAACAATCAGTTCAACCACAATCTTATCCGACTCCCTTTTTTTATATTTTTGCACAACAGAAGTATGTAAGAGAGACCATATTCATTGATTAACAGCAGGAGATGTTTTAAATCACACAGAAGAAGATTTGGATTTTTTTTATCATTTGCTACTTGTTAAAGTTAAGTGTGTTACAAAAAATATAGTTTCTGTTAATGTCACAATTTGTCCTGAATTGTTTTTATCTGAATAGTAGTCTGGTCATCTTGGTGATCTAATGAGACTTTATACATTTTGCGACAGCTTGTGGAACAGTGGAGCATGAATATCAGATTCTCAGTTAAGTTGTGACACTGGTAATGAATATGAAATCATGTGTTTTATCTGGGAAAGCCAGACTACAGATCAGAATGGTACCAAAGCATTATTGTACCTGGAAAATAAAGAACACAACATAATTTCAACAAATTCAAATTTCAAATTGCTAAAAACTTAAACGTCTTAAAAAAAACCTGCCATAAAATCTGACATTGTTAACGACAATAAACCGAGAGTAAGCACCTTGTGATTTGGAAACGCTTCACCCACAATTTTGACCAGGAACTTCAAACAAGGAAAGCATTCTCATCTCCCAGGTAAAAGGTTTGGGCTCAAGTCCCAGTCTGGAGACTTGAGCACAGAATTTAGACTTTAATACTCAAGTGGGAGAGCTGCATTAAATCAGCCACTGTGATTCAGAAAGCAAGTTAAACTGATGACTTCTGAGGTGGGACTGAAAGAGCCCATGGCCCTATTTCAGAGCATCCTGGCCAACACTCATCACTCAACTGGTTTCACAAAAAAAATCATCAAATTTCTGCTAATGGAAGTTTGTTGTGCACAAGTTGGCAACCACATTTCTACAACACTGATACTACTTCAAATGTATTTAATTGGCTATAAAATGTTTTGAAACATCCATAGATTATGGAAGTTATTGTGTAAATGAAACTTTTGAAAAATGCTCAAGTGCAACAGGACCACATTTTTGTTAGTTATTGTAATTTATAGCCATGATACTCAACTTTAGAACAAAAATAACAGACTTAATACTGTATTTTGCGGCCAAGACAGTAGGAGATCACATTTAAACTGTATAATGCTCCATTCAGATGGCCTCTTGAGTAAAATTTTCAGTTTCGTCACCATACATCAGAGTAGATTACAGATGTAAGAGCCACATGATAGCTTAGGGTACAGAAAAAACTTTGTCACTCATCCTTTAGTAGCTAGAAATAACAGAAAATCAATGAACAGGAAATTCATCTCATCGAGAAGCAAGTTTTTCAGAAGGTAATAATACATGCTTATTTGCACCCTGTACCATCCAAGAATCACAATGGTTTGAGAACAGGCATATAAGAACATGAGAATTCAAAGGAGGAAAATTCTATTGAACTCGACAAGCATGTTCCCTCGACTTAGTTGCTATTACACCTTTTAGAATACAAATCATTGCCTTCAAATACATTTGTACTTACTTAGATTTATATTCATCACTGAATGATCAACCCTCTCATTTCATTTCTCTTCATGAAAAAAAAAATTCTGCCCCTCTTAATCTAACATCCTAAACTGTAATTTGAATGCGGTTGAAAATAACAAGTGTTATGACATCAGCACTTAAAATCCAGTCTGTTGCTATCTTGTAACCAATAACAAATTTCAAACAAAAAGCATGGGATTTTGTATGCATCACAGCATATCCTTAAACATCAGGCTCTTGAAGTAATTAGTGATATTCTTCTCCTCAAAACTCACATCAGGTATCTTTCTTCTACTGCATAGCTACCCCATCTATTGGTGTATGTTTAAATAACAGTATGTATAACTTTCAAGTGGCTAGACATGTTCACAGGGGTAAAACAAAAGGGCTCTGAAGTGACAAACTTCAGTGTCTCAGCGTGACCGGCCCGGATGGAATCCTCGGCCATGCATACAGTTTCTGTGCACACCAGCTGGCAGGAGTATTCACTGACATCTTTAACCTCTCCTTACTATGATCTGAAGTACCCACCTGCTTCAAGAAGATCGTCATCATCCCAGTGTCAAAGAAAAATCAAGTAGCATGCCTCAATGTCTACAGCCCAGTGACTCTGAAATCCAAAATTAATGATGTGCTTCGAGAGTTTGGTTATGGCTCACATCAAGTCCAGCCTTCCAGCCTGCTTTTATGCCTTACAATTTGCCTACTGGCTCAACAGGTCCATGTCAGATGCCCTCTCCCTGGCACATCTGGACAACAAGGATACTTATGTCAGGCTCCTACTTATTGACTACAGTTCCACCTTCAAAACCATAATTCCAAACAAACTAATTTCTAAACTGCGGGACCTAGGTCTCTGCTCCCTGCTCTGTAACTGCATTCTTGACTTTTATGCCAATAGACCGCAGTCAGTAAGGATTGGCGACCATACCTCCTTGATGATAACCCCCAATATGGGTACCCCGCAAGGCTGCAAACTCAGACCCCTATTATACTCCTGAAACACTCCCAACTATGTGGTGAAATTCAGCACCAACTCCATTTACAAGTTTGCTAACAACACCACAATTGTAGGTCAGATCTCCAACAACTATGAAACGGAGTACAGGAAGGCGAAAGAGTGCTTATTGGCATGGTGTAAAGACATCAATCTCTTCATCAAGGTGTAGAGCTGGATGGAACACAGCAGGCCAAGCAGCATCAGAGGAGCAGGAAAGCTGAAGTTTCGGGTCTGGACCCTTCTTCAGAAATGGGGGAGGGCAAGGGGATTCTGAAATAAAGAGAAAGAGAGGGGGAGGCGGATGGACGATGGATAAAGGAGCAGATAGGTGGAGAGGAGACAGACAGGTCAAAGAGGCGGGGATGGACCCAGTAAAGGTGAGTGTAGGTGGGGAGTTAGGGAGGAGATAGGTCAGTGCAGGGAGGACGGACAGGTCAAGGAGGCAGGATGAGGCTGGTAGGGAGGAGGTGGGGGTGGGGCTTGAGCTGGGAGGAATGGATAGGTGGGAGGAAGGACAGGTTAGGGAGGCGGGGACGAGTTGGGCTGGTTTTGGGATGCGGTCGGGGGAGGGAAGATTTAAGCTTGTGAAGTCCGCATTGATACCATTGGGCTGCAATGATGTTGCTAGGTCTGCTGTGTTCATCCAGCTCTACACCTTGTTATCTCAGATTCTCTAGCATCGGCAGTTCCCACTATCTCTGAATCTCTTCATCAACATCAGCAAAACAAAGGAGCTGGTCATTGACTTCAGGAAACTGACATGCCCCTGCCTGCAACAATCATTGAGAGTGTCAAGTTCCAGGGAGTGATAATCACCAACAATCCGTCCTGGTTCACCCACATTGACACTGTTCAAAAAAGCACAACAACCCCTTTACTTCCTCAGAAGGCTAAGGAAATTCAGCATGTCCACAATGACTCTTACCAATTCTTACAGATGCACAACAGAAAGCATTCTATCTGGATGTATCAAAGTTTAGTATGGCAACTTCTCTTCCCAAGACTGCAAGAAACTAAAGAGAGTTGTGATCACAGCCCAGTCCATCACACAAACCAGCCTCCTATCTATTGACTTCATCTATGCTTGCCACTGCATCAGAAAAGCAACTGACATAATCTGAGACCCCTCCCACCCTGCATACTCGCAGAAGATATAAAAGTTTGTGTAAACATACAAATAGATTGAAAAACAACTTCTTCCTGCCATTATCACACTTTTGAATGGACGCCTTAAATGTTAATGTTGATCTCTTTCTGCACCTTCTCAGCAGCTGTAACGCTGTATCCTCCACTCTGTTCTGTTACCCTGATGCACTTGTATAGTACGATCTGCCTGTACAGCACATAAAATAACACTTTTTAATCTGCCTCAATACACAACAGTAATAAATCAAATCAAAATCACAAATCCATTAAGAATCACATTGTTACTGGGTATTAGGATTTAGTAGAAACCTTTTACTTTGTCAATTGATTAAACACTTCTATTTAAAATAAGAAATTGCTTTGATATAATTAAAATTATTGAATCTGATTCTATGTTGGAATTCATTTATAATATGCCAAGAAGGCTGAAGGAATCTTACTTTTTTTTACTCTCTACCAAATTGTTCGAACAGTTTATTGATGCAATTAGTTCAAACATTCAATATTCAATTAAAAATATAGAATAAATAATTGGGGTGCTATGGGCAAAGAAGTGCACAACATAAAGGATATAAATAGGGAGCTCTCATTATTATTGGATTTTTGGGCGCATTCACAAATCATGAGCATTACTCAGAATTACTGTCTAAGGATCAACATTGGAAATTTTCTCCTCTCATATAAAGCACTACAGTCAACAATGTGTTAGAGAATCGACAAACATTTCAAGCAGCAAGGAACTCCAACTCAGCTGGCTGAGTTCCCTTCTTTAGCCACATTGCTCCGGGGAGGTGTTTGGAGGAAGTCAAGCATATTTTTAGAGGTGGGAAGTATTAAGTAATTAGGAGATGCTTCACAAATGGAATGGAGGGGGCCTTGGTCACAGATCATCCACTAATCCACTACATCCAGAAGCACAGGGCAATTTCCTCAGTACTTTGTTCAACGATTCACAGTTTGCATTGTTTTTAATAAACTAAATCCAACTTCAGCAATACAATACTTTAGCTAATTTAATGCAATGTAACAGATTATCACCTCATCAAAACTAACCATCTATGCAATTTGGGAAGTACCCTTTTATACAACTTCCACTCAAGCAATATTCATAATAAAGCTCAGAATAAAAAGCTTTTTGTTTTTGAACTAGCGATAACATGGTGGTTAGTTGACCAGTTTATATTTCGAAACATTTTTCCATATGCTTTCTTGGTTAGTTTACACTGCGGTTACCTTCACTAGTGAATGAAGGCTTTTTTCACCAAACATATCCCGTAGGAAGGTCAGATCTTCCTGGCTGTTCACATGTGACTGCAGCTGGGTTGGCAAGGAAGCCAACAATTCATACAGACCTGTGAATAAATATGAAATACAATAAGAGTAATGCAACAGAAATCATCTACTTAAATGATACTTGTTTCTCAACTGCCTGTATGGAGTGTTTCATTTTTAAATTGAGGAAAGCCACAGGCTATGAAGTAGAACTTAATCTCTGGAGATGCTCAAGGTTACAAAAGGGGCTGTCTCAAATGGCACGTTTCCCCATCAGTCTCCAAGAGACAGACAGTAGCACTCTGTTCCACCACAGCATAAAGCACAATCATCCGTCAGGCACCCGCTATCAATATGAGTCAAAAGTAATGCAGCAACAGTGAAAGTTCAGGCCCCCTTTAGGGCGGTAGCCTGGCATTATTTAAAGTCAAGTTGCAGCATATGTTTGCTTTCCCAAGAGGATTACATAGCCTAAAACAGCAATTTACTGCTTTCACCCAGCCAGAGTCTATAAAAACAGGCAGATTATGATGGCCTCCAGCAAACCATTATTTAATAACATAAACCATTATCCCACATTGGAATAGTTTGATTATGGTTAACAAAATTGTTTTATCATAAACTATTCACAAAAAAAAAATACTCTAAATGCTGAAGCATAGTTTAAGTATGCAGGCATGAAGACAATAGTGAACACAGTCAGTCTAAATGTAACAATGCAAAGAGATCCCCACATTAATGGTGTTGAGAAGAAACTGAATGGACATTAATACAATTTACAGGATTGGCATCTTATCCACAAATTTTCAAAATCAGGAAAATAAATTGTAGAATATAAATTAAGCCTAAACAGTGATTAAATAGAAACGCTAGATTCTACACATCCTAATTTTAAAAAGTAAAACTAAACTATCAACTTTATTTCCCGCTTGTTCAGCATATAATATTGAATTGCTGAAGAAAAAGACAGAAATGAATTTCAATAACTTGAGGGCACATAATTATCATTCTTATTTGAAAATCATAGCCATCATTGAAGCAGATTCAAAGAAAAAGTACACTGGCTCTGTGGCAACACCAGGTCACCATCTTCATCTCTTCACAGTATTTCAATTACTTAAGTAACAAAAGGACACTTATTCTTGAAAGGAACACAAGTTTAGAGAAACGTTTATTTTATTTTAAACCATTTTTGCAAACAATGCGTGTGCAGGGAGCAACCACCCAGAACTTATAGGTTTTGTGAGATCAAACTCCATTGATTTATTGAAGCTGAACATTCCCATAGCGAGCAAACAACAAGCTGCACAAGAGACTCTACATATTGTAAGACATTCCACGGCGCTTGACAGGAGCATAATCAGACAAAAACTGACAGCAATTCACAGGAGGAGAATAAGGACAGGTGACCAAAAGCCTGGACCAAGACTTATGTTTTAAGGACGGCTGTCCTCAAATTTGAACATTGAAATGAAACCAGTTCCCACAGTGGTGCCATGTCCCAGGTGTCAAGCAATGGCCAAATCAAGTTAGAAAATATGCTAACAATGCACAGGAATAAACTAAATTTTTTCCAGATGCTGTAATTTTGCAGTTTTTTTTTATAAAACAGCAACAACGTATTTATGTAGCATAAAATAAAAGTAACGAACGGCCGATGCTGGAGATCTGAAATAAATAGTGTTGGCGAAACACGACAGGTTTGGCAGCATCTATGGAAAGGGAAACTGAATTAATGGTCTGAGTAAATTTAACTTCTTTGGAACTGAAGAAAACTAGAATTTTTTTTGTTTATACGTTGCTCTGAAAGGGGCCAGAGGAGCAAGTGGAACAGATAGAAATGGTGTCCAGAGCAAAGGGGAAAGGTGGTGTTAATGGTTGTAGAGGAGTAATATAGATGAAAAGTAACTGTTAATGGTAAGTGTTAGTATCAGAGACTAGGTCAGCTCTGCTGAGAGCAAATCCATGCAAATAATCTATGCAAGAGGGTGGTGTAATCAAAATCAAGTTGTTGAACTGAATGTTGACTCCTGAAAATTGGCAAAAGTCTACGCAGAAAATGAGGTAGTGTCCCTCCAGCTTGCATTTAGTTTCATTGGAACACTGCAGCATAGCACCTTAAATGCAATGAAACATCCCAAAGCACTTCACAGGAGCAGTATGAAACCAAACTCAACTGACACCAAGCTTCATGAGATCATATTAGATGAATGACCCAAGAGGTTATTCTGACCTGTTCAAGGAGTTGGTTTTAAGAAGCATATTAAAAGGTGGAAAAGCGAGTTAGAGAGGCAGAGGTATAGGAAGGGTATTCAAGAGCTTACAGCCTAGGCAACTCAACGCATAACACCAATGGTGGAAACAATTAAAATTGTGAAGGCACAAGAAGCCATAATGGGGCAGGCAATGGCCTAGTGGTATTATCGCTGGACTGTTAATCCAGAGACCCAGATAACGCTTTGAGGACCCAGGTGTGAATCCTGCCATGGCAGATGATAGAATTTGAATTCAATAAAGTACCTGGAATTAAGAATCTAATGATGACCGTGAACCCATTGTCGATTATCAGAAAAATCCATCTGGTTCACTAATATTTTTTCAGGAAGGAAACTGCCATCCTTACCTGGTCTGGCCTACATGTGATTCCAGATCCACAGCAATGTGGCTGACTCTGGACTGCCCTCTGGGCAATTAAGGATGGGCAATAAATGCTGCCTGGTCAGCGACGCCCTCATCCCATGAATGAACAGAAAAAAAAATTAAAAGAACATAGGTACCTCAGAAGGCTGTGGGGTGTGGAAGAGATCTGTGGAAGAATTTGAAAGGAATGATGAGAATTTTACAATCAGGATATTGCTTGACCAGACACCACCATAGGTCAACAACCATAGATATGACAGGGGAGGAGCACATGCTACAAATTAAGAAATGAGCAGGAGGGTTCTGAATGATTTCAGGTTTATGAAGAATAGAATGTAGAGACCTGCCAAAAGTAGGTTGAAACAGCTGACTCTAGGGGCAACAAAGGCATGGCTAAGGATTTTAGCAAATGAGCTGAGATTGGGTGAATTTCAGCAATGTCATGGAGGTGGAATTAGGCAGTCATAGAGATGGCAGGAGCAGGTCGTCAGAAGTTCAGATTCAAATGTAATACCAAGGTGAACAGACTGGTTAATATCAGCAAGAGAAAAAAAAATTAAGCCAAATCATGACTTTTTTTTTTTAATTAATTCATGGGATGAGGACATTGCTGGCTAATTGCTCAAAGGGCAGTTAAGAGCCAACCACTTTGCTGTTAGAGTTACATGTAGGCCAGCTAGGTAAGGATGGCACTTGCCTTCCCAAAAGAACATTAGTGAACCAGATGAGTTTTTCCTGGTAACTGACAATGGACTCATGGTCAGCATTAGACTCCAGATTTTTATTGAATTCAAATGCCACCATCTGCCTTGGCGGGATTCAAATCCAGAACCCCAGAACAAGGGTCTAGGCCCGAAACGTCAGCCTCTCTGCTCCTATGTTGCTGCTTGGCCTGCTGTGTTCATCCAGCCCTGCACCTTGCTGTCTCGGATTCTCCAGCATCTGCAGTTCCTACTATCTCTGATTCAATTTTAACCCCAGAACATTATCTGGGTCTCTGGTATAACAATTCAGCAATAATACCACTACGCCATCACCTCCCCTGTCTTATATGCACACAAGATGTTTTGTTTTCGTATCTGTACTATAGAAGAACACAAAGCAGCATCAGACTTAAGAAATGCTCTAGATTCACTTTCAATTGTACCATGAATTCTTGTTGATTCATAATATGAGAAGTGTATTGTTAATACATAAAGAATGTACTTTGGCTCCTTTTAACCTGGTTAGAATCAATAGTTACAAGAACCATTCTATATACATAAATATTCCGAGTCAACAAAGCCATTTGACTGAAAATGTCCTTAAACTTTTGCTATGCTATGACAGATAATTGCTTATCAAATATATTGCTAGCATTAGGTAATCCTGAGAAGGTTGAAAATAAAAAACTAAGTTAAAGCAACTGTTGGAGTGGTACAAAACTATGGGGAAAAATATCAGGCTTTATTTTGAAAAGAAGTCAGTACACTATTATAAAAGCTATAAACTCTTAAAAAAATGAATAAAACAAAGTGATGGAAAAAAAACTACACCACAAAGCATGCAACGGAGACTAGGGACACTGCTTGAATTATGATGCTTTTATGACTCTATAAAATGGATGAGGGAACATTACAAAAATAAAACTGTGACCCAAAGCACATCACAATATTTCTTTGTGGGCATGAAACTTTTGAAACTTCCCTCCAATGTAAATTATAGACAGCCCCAAAATGCTGGCAAAATAAAAATGTAAGCAATATACAACAAGTAATTTACAACAGGCTTCTCCAAATATTATTTCTTTTCACAAATCTCTTATTCTGGTGCCTCTTATCTCATGCTCATCACACTCGTACAATTTTTTAATCATCATTTTAATGCTCAGACTCATTATGCATGTTAAAAACTAGACTAAGTTTAATTTAACGTGGGCAAATCCTGAAATGGAGTGGGAATGTAGATTTTACTGAAAAATTTGGCAACGGTGATGCTTAATGTCACAATCTTAAGGGAAATGTCTTTACGATCTTTCCCAGATTAGAACTTCAGTTTATAATCAATCTTTGTGAATGCTGCTCATACGTTTAATTATTTATTTATCTCTCAGATTGGTTAAATCACATTTATTTCTGAAATATTTGGGTACTTATCAAATTCTATCCTAAAAGAAAGCAAAATTTAGTTCACCAAGAGGAGCATTCCTAACAGTTAAACAGGGTAAATGGCCAGAGATATTCCCTCAGTTTATAAATTCTGTTTAAGTTTGCCGGAAATATATTGCAAAGAGTTGAAATTTAAATTTAAAGTCAAATTCCTCATTTTCTGAACTGGCACAGCTTTACAAAATGCTGTGGTGGGAAAAAAAGATTTTTTTTCAAATTAATGGATGTGTTACCCAATTTAATAAAAACATATCATTGGTGTAATTGTTCTATCAAAAATCTTTAACACTGTC